ATATATATATATATATATATATATATATATATATATATATATATATATATATATATCTCTCCGGAAACGCGTCTCGGCGGGCTATTCCGGTTGAGTTTTCATTCGAGAGGCACCTGCGTCCTCGAGTGTTACACGTATGCGTGCGTGCGTGTGTGTATACGAATGTGTACGTGTGTTCGCGCGTGTGTGCTGGCGCATGCATGCCGCGTCGTAGACTTCTAACCGTGCGTCGCTCGTACATTTTTGCCCGTGTGCGTGTTGCGTTTGCGTGTAGATGCGTGCACGTGTGTCGCGCTGTACGCACCGAACGACGATCCATCGTTATTTGCGTCTTCAGCACGAGGACCTGGCTGGAATGCGCCCGCGACTCACGCAGCGCGCGTGTACACGCACTCGATGTGTACGAGCCGCGACGCGTTATTATCGCGCACCTGTCGTCTTTCGCGTTGTCTCTCGTCAGCCGCACATAGGCACGTGCTCTGTCTGTCTGTCTACCTGCCTGTCTGTCTGTCTGTCTGTCTGTCTATCCTGTCCTATCCGGCACGCGTGTTCGTACGCAACGGGGCTAGTTGTCCGCTGATGTTTCTCCGCCGTGATAGAAATTAATTGCTCGGTCGTCCGCGCACACATACACATATACGCATGTGCAGGCTACCTGCTGGCATCGTTGCGCCGCCGGAAAATGTTTCAATAGCGGGCCTTCAACAAGGCGCGCATTCATTCCCGCGAATTCACTCGATGAAGGGTCTAATTAATGTAGCACGCGCGTGTGTAACGTAACGCGCTCCACCCCTCTGTATATATAATCGTATATTAATAAAAAGCTGATTTTCCACGAGCGCTCTCCCCTATCGACCGCTGAGAGCCGGTTTATTCGTGTGCAATTATTCAAGAAGGGTACACACACAACAGTTTTAGGCGTTGCCAGCTCAATGAGGGGGGCGTGGGCGCGAGTCGAGCCCTTGATTTATAAATGAACGATAAAATCTTCATGTTCGACTGATCACACGACGGAATTTTCAGTTTAATGAGGAATGAATTTCAGCGGCTCCAGCTCAAAACGCGCGAGGTAAGGTAACAGTCCCAATTACGGGTCGAGGTCTAGTTTCAGCTCAGGCTTGATTTATTAATATGTGTTAAAAAAGTGCACGTGATAAATTTTCTCATATATTTCTTAGTTCTTTTCCTGAAACTTTAGGAAAAACTTAATTTTCATGAAAGCAGATGCTTATTCTTTTTAAATGAAAGAATGTAGATTTGAGTATAAATCTGTTAGTATTCACCAAATAAATACTTACTAATATTCAGACTTTTTTTCGTAGTACATAAGTGTTTATTTTTTTATTATTTAGTTTTAGTTTAGTTTAGTGTTTATTTTTATATTATTTAGAATAAACTATAATATATAAAATATTTTTTAATAAGAAAATATACATTTTCCTAAAACCTTAGGAAAACTTTAGTTTTTTATGAAAATAGGTGTTTATTTTTTTTTAATAAAAGAATGTCGATTTAAATATAAATTTGTTAGTACTCACCAAATAAATATTTACTGATATTCAGATATTCTTTCTCTCAATGCATAAGAGAGAGTGTGTTTCTAGTTATTTTTTCTATAATTTAGAATAAACTAAAGTCTAACAATTTTGTTCTAGAAGTATGATGCTAGTTGCTTGCATTGGTATCTACAGTTCGTTTTGACGTTCGATCGACGAATTTCTGCAAACGATTGAAAGTTACTCTAATCTCAAGTGACCCATAATTAGGGCCGTTAGCTTAATCAATTTACGGGGTAAACGCGCGCGGAAGAGGCCGATGAATCCCGTCTAGTACCTTTAAAATTGCCGACGAACCTACTTTATCGCGAATTTTATTTTTAACCCGACAATGGATATTGTCCTTTAATGGCGCGAGTCGGAAAGTTTCGTACGTTACATCGAACGAGCGCGTTAAGAGTGTCTCTCTATAAGCGGACGAAACGATGCCGAAGATTATCACGCAGGTGTGTTCTCCTACGAAATCCCATTATCTCCGTACGTCCCTCCGCGGGGAGCTAATGCAAAATTCTCGCGCGCCGCTGAAAAGAGTAGAAAAAGGGAGGATATTCTTCGTTGGGCCTGGGCGCGTCGCCGCCGCTGTGGCTGCCGCCTAATGGTAACGATAACGGAAGGTCCGCACCGCTCGCGGTTGTAACGTGCCCTCATCGCCATAAATTCGCGGCTAAGCAAGCCTCGTACGCTCGCGCACGCCGATCTCTCGTTTCCATGCACTGTTTTCTCGCGGGTTTCCCCTCTCCCCGCGTCCGCCAGTCCACATACCCTTCTCAGCTCTCTAACTTGGTCTGCCTATCTCTTTCTCTCTGTTCTGCCTAGATCTATCTATCTTTCGTTCTCACGCTCCTATCTACTTCTTTTTGCTGCTGTTCCGCCCTCACACGCTCTCACCCGAGACTGTACCACGTGTACGACTCTCTTCTGCCTTGCCTTCCGCCTCACTCTGTCTCTACCTCTCTCTGTCTCTCTCTCTGTCTCTCTCTCTCTCTCTCTCTCTCTCTCTCTCTCTCTCTCTCTCTCTCTCTCTGTCTCTCTCTTTCTCTCTCCCCCCGTCGATCCCGTCAGTCCGTGGCACAAACCGACGAGTACCGAGAGACACTCTTGTGTCGAGGGCTCTCGCCGGAGAGAAAAGCCGTAACGACGTAACGCTCTTGGGACGTAATAGGGAGAACCGGGAGAACCCGGACCGCCGGGACCACCCGGCCCGCCAGGAGCCGAGGGTCTCCCCGGGCACGAAGGCAGACAAGGGATTCCAGGCGAAATCGGCGCGCCGGGGGAGAAGGGCGCACCCGGGCTGAACGGACCCGTTGGCCCGCCGGGAACGACAGGACTTCCGGGTCCGAGGGTGAGTGAGAGAGAGAGAGAGAGATTAATTCGCGTGACCACACTGTATCCGATTACGCAATGCGCCGTCGTCGTTTGGGCACGCCGGGGTGTCGAGTTGCGCTCATCTTCTTTGATTCGAAAAGTCGAGCTTCCCTCGACCATTCCCCGACTGACCTCCCTCTTCGTAGCTTGACAGGTCCACTCACCTGGCCAGGTCTATGAGGATATTTATGTATACACAGAAAAATAGATGCTGCATTCAAGCAAATGTCACTTGCCTTTCAAATCTCTCGTCAGTTTGTAGTATATCCCCGAATCTTTCGAAATTTTTTCATTAGTCGATACACATATTTATTTAAAACGCATTCTAAATCTTCTAACAAGTTTAGCGTTTTAGTCGAGAATATTAATTTAGAATGAAAATTCGGTTTGTTTATTACATAGAATCTGTAGAACTGTTTCTTCATGGAAAAAAAGATCCGATCGGATTGTCCAAATTTCTAGTAAAATATGAAATTTCTAGTAAAATATGAACAAACCAGAAATGCCGGTTGAATTCTTCAGAATTCAGAGTTCAATTCAACAAAATTTCTTATTAGTTTGAACGGAATTCTTGTAAATTTTTTGGCTCGTTTATATTTTTCACCAGAAACTTGGTTAATCCAACCAAATGTTTTTCTCCGTGTTCGATAAAAGTTTATAATAATTTTCTTGTAAAGAAAATAAATTCTTTTCTTGAGTGCGCAATAATGGACTTCTCTCATAATTTGTGATAAGTACATATCAAAAAAATATTCTGTATTGAAAATAACCATTATTTAAAAGAAAAATAAACGGAGCAATCGCTTTTCTCAGTGGTAAAAATATATTTTTTTGTGTGTACACAGGGTGTTTCCGACGTCGCGACTTTCATTTTACTGAGAGGTTCCCTAAGCAATTCAAGTTTAATTTTACCTCGGCGAGAGAAAACGTCGAGGCATCAATAGCTTCCGAGATACAAGCGATCGAAGAAGCGGGTCTTCCGCGAATTAAACTTTGAGCGACCAAATGGATAACAAAATTACTTTCTTCGATCAATTTCAAGTGGAGTTTAACAGAACTTTACTTTGGGTCTTCTGGCACAAAGATACATTGTGTTAAAAATTGAAACATCGTCATAAATAATGACTCTCCTCGATATTTTCGATGAAAAAGAATTGTCTTCAGATTACTTCGAGAAAATTTCGAGGTAAAATTAAGGTCGCGCGACATTTGGGACACCCGTAAACATACAGAATAGACTGCGCATTGCTGTAGGAGGGATGAAGTCAACATTAGCAAGAGACGGCGATAGATGCTTTCCTTGTCGAATTATCTAGTTAGTTAATACATGGAAAAACATTTTGTATTTGTGTTGAAATCAATCCGTAGAATAGAATTTTTTCTGTTAAATTCAGCATATCCGTGTGTTAATTCATTGTCGTTATATTTTCGCGACATAATTTCGAGATTTTTCCGCGTTGAATTCACCGTTTCTCGGTGTCAAGATAACGCAATTTACATGTAACATGTACATTCTCGATGACATGTTTTACGCATAAACTGTACGGATAAGTTGTGCTATTTGTTAAAATATTTGCCTTGTCATTAAATTAACGGAAAAGTTAGAATGGATAAATTGAAATGTGTTAAATTTAACACAAAATTTCTTGCAGTGATTATAACTTGAAACTCTTTTGTGCGAGATACTCAGAGATTTGAATTCAGAATTAGATGGAAATTTCTTGGTTGAATCGCAATTACAAGCATAAGAGTGTCACATATATCATAATTCAACTGAGAAACTTGAATCTAAATACAAATCTGAATATCTCATATGAGAAGTTTAGATGAACTAAACTACTAAGTTATTAATATTAGTTTCAGTTTCATTCTCTCTCTCTTTCTCTATTTTTCGACGTTTTCGACATCGTCTCCTCCTAAAGTAGTAGGTGACAAAGAAAGCATTTGACTCGGCATACCTCTGTCCTTCGATCTTGCTGTCCCGTGAGATAATCCCATACTGCGCAGTCTATTCTACAAGTTCATAAGAAAACACCCGTTATTTATGTATAGGATACATACATATTTTCATTCTTTCAAAGTCCTTATTTTATTATATTCATATAAGATAACATATAAATGTCATGTTGCAAAACATACTGAAAGAAGTTATCCTATAAAAAATTAACAAACGGATATTTCCGATCAAAATACCGATGAATTTTTATATTCGATCAAGATATCCAATTAAATTTAATCAAATATTTCTAATCATAATAAGATTTCATCAAATAAACCGATCAAAAAATTATAAATCGATATTTTTCATCGTATGTTTTCTGATTGGATATAAAAATTCATCGATGCGCGCTTTGCTCGAAATTATCTGTTTATTAATTTTTTATCGTATAATTTCTCTCGTGTTTGATACACTAGCGTGTTGATTAAATCATTCGCGTTTTCGTCAAAGAGTCCGTCTCTAACAATTTGTACGTAACTTCATTGATCGGAATTATGAAACACATTTTCACGTATTATTGTTGCTCGTCTGCTTGTGTATTTCCCAATATCAAACATCCGATGGCGTGCTGAGATTCCGCAGGGAGTGATTTAATATTACGGTATATCACGGTAGGTAACCATGTTACGCGGAATTATGTAATGATTATGAACCGCGCGCGCTTTCAAGTACGCGGTTTGCAACAAATCCAACTAACCCCGCGGGGATTTTGGATTTCCCGCAAATTTCAACGGCGTTCTCGATTTCGCTCATATAATCGTGTTTTGCGATAAATCTTTCAATGAAACGTAACGCGATAGTCGCCGCGCGACGGTCATTCGTCGAGCTTTCCACGGAACATAAAAATTGCTTTCCGTCTGAGAGAGCGAGTCGTCACGCGAGTGCGGTGTAAGTTACACGAATAAATATCGTGCACCAAACATCGCATGCGGATAGGACAGTATGATTGGCCCACACATAAATCTGATCAGCGGAACCTGTGTGCGGCTCAACTGTACGGTTCTTCTCCGTGTGCATTTAATATCGCGCCCTTCAATGGGTTACCTAACCGTTAATTAATGACAGAGTACGACAGAGCGATTATAGAACAATAGGGTATTAATTACGTCCAGCGTATTGTTGATTTGACCTAACTATAATTAATTACATTTGAAAGCAGTCCCTACATATTAATTATTACTGTTTGTGGATATCACGATAACACTCAAACGCGTCTTTTCGCATAGAAGTTTTTCAAGATTTTCCTAGATGCAGCGTAACACTGAGAGGAAAAAAATGATTAATTCAATTAAGATCATAGTTATTTTTGGCTCCAACCATGCTTTTTAGTTGTTTTAACACAAGAATGATAGCAACATTTTCATATTAGAGCAACCAAGGTAGTAGCAAAATATATATAAGATTATCATAATAATAATATTATTATGTTATAATTATTATGTGTGTTATTAATTATAGTTATATAATAATATAATTATAAAATTATTATTACCAATATTATAGTAAAATTTAACAAAAAATGGTTTTCTTAGCCATAATTTGTGATAACTATTTTTCTGTGCGATTATAGTTGCAAATACATTGCGATAATTACCAAATGAAATATCAAATATTTTTCTCTCAGTGTAGATTCTGACTAAAAAAATATCCAAATTTGTCTTAAAATAGCTCATCCCACTATGATATCAATTGATAAATTGATTTCAAATATGAATTCTCTGTCTAGTATCGAGACATCATAGAAACATCGAAACTACATAGAAACTCGCGTTTTTTCAATTGATAATATCGACATATCTTAATGATATCAAAGTAACTCTATTTTTAAACCAAATATTGGCATTCACTAAAACAAAATATAAAAAAAAAAATAAATATTTTTAAAACACTGAGCATTTTAACTAAAAATTGTGAAATTACTTGGAAAGTCAATATCGACGTAATTAATATTCTATTGTTGTGCTCAATTCTAACGTAAAATGAAGATCAGCAAAAATGTTGAGATAACTTTGAGTTTCGCCACATAAAATCGCATTTGAGACATTCGGGGAAATCGGGCTGGATCCCAATCAAATTTGAAGAAAACTTTCTATACGAATACGTTCGCGAGAATGTTCTTTTGATCAATTTTCATTTGCGTCGAACACGAACGTACGTGGAAAGGACATTTTATTTCTAGAAGGTACAATAAATCATTACTGGAGAGAGATAGACGTGCCGCGAAGCGCGCATGTATACACTTGAGAACGAAAGCGCAAGCAACGAGAGGCTATATAAATACCTGGTAAATACACGAATGATCGAATGTTTTCTTTCGATAGGGTGACAAGGGTGATAAGGGTGATCGGGGCTTCACGACGACCTTGAAGGGCGAGCAGTTCCCGAGTGGAGTATTCGAAGGCCCGCCTGGTCCACCTGGACCACCTGGTAAGCATACAAACGAGATAATCTGCATACGAGATAAATGATTAAACGTTACACGCCAATTGCATTCTCGTGAGGAATACGAAAGCGGCGACGACACGGTAACACTTTATGAATATTTCATACGAGTTATTTATAATGTCAACATTTCACTCGAGTTGAGTATTTATAGTCACCTGACGTCGAGAAAATCGCAAGACGCTGAGCACTGTCGTTCAATTTCACGATTCATGACGCGAGATTTCGCTCTATCTCCGTTTTACGCGCGTCAGCAGTGCCGCGTTGTCCGTTCTCTCACGGGAGAATGGTAATCTCTGCACAAAAGAAAAAAAAAGAAAGAAAAATCTCAGTTCGTGCAACTGAACAGGGACCAAATGAAAATTCGGCTAACATCTGGCCGTGTTAAAACTTGATTACAATAAGTGAGAACAATTGACTGAGCAGAAAGCTCCTTCAGGAATTTTTCCGTTCATGGAAACGAATTTTTCACCTGGCCCGTGTTCTTATCAGAAAAAAAGAAAAAATTTAGTTACGAAATTATTTTTTACATGTATACATGAGGAAAGAAAGATCTCGATACGTACAACTGAGTAGGAACCAGATGAAAATTCGGCAACGGGAAATGATATCTCTGTAACCGAGAACTTTTTGTCTGAACATTTTCATCTGTGTCAATGGCATATTGGAATCGAAATCTTTACTGACAGCATACTGACTATTTTCTGCAAAATTTTTAAGTTATATTGACTACAAAAAATTACAAATGTTCTTGCGAAATAAAAGCACGTGCGAGAACGAATTAAAGTTTTGCTCAATATATGACAAAAACAATAAAAAGTTCCCAAGTTGACATTTCGAGTGTAAATTAACTTGTCAGACGCTGTCAGTTAATATTCACCTGATGCAAAAGTTCTGTAAATATGCTGAACGCGAGTTTGATCCGTTCAAAAAAATCCAAAGAACATTGCTGTACCTTTACCTTTGTTTCGCTTTGTTCAATTTGTTAATATTTTATCGGATAATTTCTCTCGGTGTATGATTTCCCGTCGCGCGACTTTTTCGCGGCGAGACAGGCGCCGCTGCAGAGAACGGCATTGAGAAACAATAATTAACGTCCGCGATCTGCGGGCGAATTAATCCGGTCGTACGCGCGATCGCTCGAATCGGTGTACGCGATAGCATTCATCCGTGAATCGATTATCTCGGGATGGGCCGAGCCGCGCCGTGGCAGAGCGTGACCGCGAGCTAAGAAAATGCGGAAACGTTTGACGGGAAAATCTTGACGGAATGATCGTGCAGTTCCTCGAGCATCGTACATCGTGAGAGGCGATCGTACATACGTACACGCACATCTGTACATGTGCGGTGGGCGTACACGCCTTATCGCGCGTAATGTATACGTCTGTGAGCGGATCTTTCTTTGGCATTCGCGCGATCCTCCTTTTTTCGCCCGCGTCATTCCTCCCGCGCCGTTCGGAGTCTTAAGGCGAGTCGAGTACCCTCGATTAATGTTATCTGAATCCTTTTTCTCGAAGTGCTTCTTAGAAGGTTAACGTCAGTAATTTTACTCATATTTGAAATCTCAGGCTCTCCTTCTAGTGCTTATTTTATCATTTACTGAAATGGATGCTGCTGTCTTTATATATGTATGTGTGCGTTCGTAAGATATCACTCGAATGGGTTAAAGTTACTCATGCCTACTTAGGCAGCGCCGTAAGTTATGTCGCTACTTTTTTTACAAGGAAATCCACACAAGTGTCCGCCTCCAATTTTCATGAATTTGTAATATGTTGTACTTCACATCAAAATAACAGATACGTTTTTTATTATATATGTCCTTTCGCAAGTTTAGGGAGTAAAATACCCTTTTGAAGAAAATCGGTTTCTCATTCGAAGGGAATATAATGAAAACTATTATAAGAGATAGAAAAAAATATTTTCAATAAAAATTGAATAGTTTGAAGAGTACTTTACAAAAATTATTTTGATAATTATAATAAGAAGTGGTGGGAGAAATATTAACAAAAAAAATTTTTTTTTTTTAATAATTTTTAAAGTAAATTTAAAGTCAATAATATTTAATTTTTCAAATAATTCTGTAAAGTAGGGGAGAGCGGGGCACAGAGGACCATTGCTTATAAAACATAGATAAACAAACGCCATCTGTTTGAAAATAAAGAAATTACAATAAAAAGACAACCGCTAATAGTATAATGACAGTGGGCCATGTAAACAAATCTTACAGAGAAAGATGTAACGTAAAAACTACAAAAGGATCACTTTTGAAGATTCGCTTGTTAAAATG